TTTCATGGGGATTGCTATAAATGGCGATGACTACACGCTGACTTCTTTTGCCTCCTAGGAAAGAGTAGCCCGCTTACGTAATTTTTCCTCGTCTGTCTTACTTTTCTATTTTAATCTACCCGGATTGCCTTACTTTCATTGGCAAACCAACCCAGTGGGGAGTGAGGGTATCTTTCTGAAGTAGTATTTACACAAATTCCTGGATAGGCAACAGAATAACCCACGGTAACCGGATAGGTAAGTAGATGGCTCACTTCCAGTGCCGCGCCTTTTTCCAAACTGATTCTCCACCTCGGGAGGGGGAACGATTGGGACCTCCAGCAGCTAGTCTAATGGCCATTTCATTACTCTTGAAAGAAATAATGTGTGAAAAAAGCGGCAGAGCCGGCATAAGCATCGGAGAGGGATAAAGGGGAGGAGTAAGTCGTTGCATAATAACAGAAATGAAGTGGGCGGGAGTGCGGGTATGTTTAATTCCCGTTTTCCCCACTCAAATTGTATAATCATCAGTTACATCTGGGGGACCTTCACTACATTTTGCACTACTTATGATTTCCTTCTGTCTTTCCTTCTCACTTCTCTTTCCAATAGTATATCCTGTGTGTGATTCAGTAACATCCTCGATACCCATTTCTGAGTCACCATAAAATTTATCTGGGAAAGGTGGAAAGGTGGTTGAATACCTGTCAAGTTCCGAACTTGCAGCCTCGTGTTTGAGACCCAGCAGTCAAGCACAGCGTCCCAGAAAATGACTACTTATCCTTGGGAACTTAGGCTGACGAAACGGGTTCAAGCGGACTGATGTCTTCTTATGGGTTTTACTCAAGGGGTTGAGGCTCATTTGAGCACGAGATTTCACAAACTCCGCTCACCGCTTTGGAATAGCCCTCTGCAGCTCTGCATGTGGAATACATAGTAGCATCCTAGGCTCATGGAACTTTATGATGATTATTGGATTGAACGCCAGAATCAAACTCCCACTCGTTCAACTATTCTTCTGGGGGCTATGCACCGAGGGCGAGGACAAGATGAGAAGGGTGCTTGGCGACACCTCTTTTGGCACAAGTTTCAGTAGTGGTCATAACCAGGTTCTTTCAACCGTGTTGGGAAACGGGCAGTCTAGACCCTGGAAATTCATTTCCCAGATGTTTTTCATCAAAGGACTGGGATGTGACAGTCCTTAGAAAAAAACATTTTGAATACGTCAGCTTTTTTTCTAACGGACATCACACATTCCCATTCCCCTCCCATACGTGCAGGCTCATACTATTTCGCTTGCTCCTTTCAAATCTCAACGATACAATGCTAGCAGCAGGTTTTTTCCTGGTTCTGAGCCATAAAGTGATTAATGTGGGTGCTCATGAGCATAAATCAAGGCCCTGAAGGGTAAGAAGGATAACGGGTCCAGGTGATGGTGATGAACTTGACAACTTCAGAAAAAGTGTGAGCTTCTCGATGTTCCGTCAGGTGGCACGTCATGAATTCGTAAAAAGTATTTTTGACGATGCAAATTCCACCCAAGCCATCAGATATCACCATAAATCAGCGACCATCTGGTGATGACAGATCACCTCGTTACCATAACAACGGGATGATAAAAAGGGGCATGATAAAGAATTGTGTCCTTTCGCCCCCTTTTTAACTGAAATTTACTTCAAACTTGAAAAAAACGTTCAACGACGACGAAGCGAACATCGCAGAACAGCAGAATTGAGGGTGTGGGGGGAGGGAGGGTTTAAGGAGAATGAGGAAGAGGTAGGGAAGGCACTTGTGGAGACTTCGTGATCCCTGCATTGGATGACGAAGGGGATGACCGTTTTGAGCTCAACGTGAAAACCCTTGGGAAACAACTCTTCGTTGGCCCTACCGTATCTCTTTGGGCACTGCCGTTATCTCAAAACTTAGCGGATCTCCAGCAAGAAAAATCTTGAAACTGGCTCTCCCACTTCCCCCAGAATCCTTTTACCTTCGCCATCAAGCACTGCTGCTTTTAGAGAGCCGAAAAACTTCAACTTGGAGCCAGTCCGAGAGTTTATACATTAAAAATAGATATTTCCGATGTCCGCATGTTCCCAAAAGCTGGATAGACTCATAGCACTTTGGTCAGGAAAAAAGCGCAAAAAAGTAAGGGTGGGATTTCAGTGGTCGATACGATACGGGAAATCGATTGAAAAATGTCATTGATTTTTAATAATTTCCGATTATTCGGATTCACTCACTTGAATTGGCACCGCGTTCATCGATGTGACGAATCCGATCGCACTATGTTCGTCTTCGTATTCGACAAAAGCCTAAACGAAGACAATATTGAGAGTGTAGATGGAAGCTTATTCAATTATTTCCCTACAAAATAACGGCTTAGGGCGGAAAAAACAAATCTGCGGCAGAATCCCTGTCTCATATATCCTGGATATGTTTAATTACACTTTCTCGGCATCTGCTCTTATAGCGACAGCATCTGCTTATAGGCTAACCCCTTCAATGGATAGTAATGCTGTTAGACTTATCAGATACATAGTATGGTACCCTCGGAAAATTGTGGGAGGGGAAACTGCCCTTTTTCTCAAAAAAAAAACGGGGTTCTCTCCAGCTACATTTACTTGAGCCATTTACAAGTTTGCTAGAAAAATTTCTCAGCCGCAACGACGGTTTACCCGATGAAGAAAGTTCGGGATTGGAGTAGTATTGGGAATTCTTATTGGTAATAATCTACAAGCTCGGGAAAGCCTCATGGAGCATCGCCGAGTTGAAAAGCAGCCAATATGGGGTGCAATAAGGGCTCAAAGACCGGTCCTCCCGCTCACTAACATTCGATACACTCCCACAAAAGGACGTGTTCAGCGGCCTTGTAGAGGTTGTACATGTAATTAGCTGATACATCCTATGACCCGCTAAAATCTGAACACAGCCATAACATTATTCAACTTTAGCACTGAGCAGTTCAAAAAAACTCATGAAATTTTCAAATTTTGAGGATCTTCGCCGATTGCCATCGAAGTACTCTGCCGCACCTTCTCCATCAACTTCCGACCCAATCAAGATCGTAGGACGTACCTCCACCTTATTGGGTGGGAGCCGGTGATATCCGGGGTCCCTGCATCCCTATTTTTCCACATTTTTGTTCCTTTTTGTTTGATAAACGAGTTTCTAATAAATCAGATCGTGAGAATACCGAAGATTTCATATGGATTTTAATCTCCACAGCTTCAGAATATATTTAGGAAGCCCCAAAGAGAACTGAACGTTATCGACTGGTATCGTGCGTCGCATAGCGGTGGGTAGGGTAAGCAATGAGCTGGGCATACCTCGAGTCTTTGAATTTTCTCCTAACAGTATCCTAGTTCGAAATTGTGTTCATTTTTGGTTCATTCTAAAGCTTTACTGCTATCTACTATTTATTTATTTTTTACTTCTTTCCTACTTTACTATCTCTGGATCTTTCAATGAGTACTAGACTGTATTTAGTGAGAGCAAGTAATAGTAGTAGTTTCACGTCCTAATAAATAAAGTGACATAGCAAAAGCGGTTCAAGTCCAGATGAAGAGGAGAGGAGACTGATGGAGAAATCCCAGATCGAGCTATAATGAGCATCGGGACAGCTCATTTTGTTGCAATCAAAATCGCCCCCTTTTAGTGGAACATTTCCCGAAGCACCGTAATCGTTGTTCAATTTCCTATAACGTAAAGGAAATGAGGGGGAACAATTCTAGCAAATATGTAATAAAGAGACTGTCAAGTTCAGGAAAGTCAAGCGACTCTGCAGAGAGCTTTTTTTTCCCATAGGGAAATAAATTAGAAATCTAATTCTCATCTAACGATAAGGAGGAAGGCGTTTATTGATTCTCTTGAAATACGCCATCCAATCCTCTTAGAAGAGATCGTGGATGGATTTGGACACTTTATTTGGCACCCGCAGTGACTTTTGAAGTTCTGTCTTTGCTCAAACCATCATCTTTAGCCTTCCATGAAAACCTTCTATCAAGTAGTCCAGTACAGAAAACTAAAAGGCCCACTGGAACTTGGGACGACTGCTTCTGACACCATAGCGATTCAACTCATGGCTGTCAAGGTTTCAGGAAAAAGAGGTGTTCACGACTTATTAAGGTTTTTCTCCCTCAAGCCGACTCGCCACGATGAGATTACCCTTAATATATATTTTGATTCGAAGAAAAAGTAGGGAGGTGGTGTAGTGGCAAATGACGCACTATCGCACACGCACGGTCACGGGTTCGAGTCACTGGTCCATATTTGCCCAGGCCAGAAAACCCATCTGTTCTTCCAGGGTTCGCTTAAATATAGAAAGAGTCATCTAGGAGGAGAAAACCATGACTTTCACATTGGGTGGCCATCACAAGTCAATGTATACGCCACATAGGTCTTCAAAACGCCATTGCAATTCTGAATGGAAGTCGAGTGCGGGACTCATCCCAAAAAGGTTTTGGCCACCGTCAAAAGGCCTAATACTCCATTAATCCGTAGAAGAATAGGATTGACGTTCTAATGGACAAAATAGGGGTGGATTTTGATTATCGACGGGGATAGAGAGTGGGAGTTGACAAGGCTCCGCTAATCATATGGGAAGTGTCGGCGGCCAAAGAAATTGCATCTATACGCGGAGCATATGGTCCAATACGATCACATTAACCCATTCAGTGGCGTCGTACACTCGTAGTGATTAAGTCGGCCAACAATAATTCTTAGTTCAATTATAAAGCTTTAGCCGAGACTAGGAGGGAAGAAACGAATAAAATCACATCCACTTACAATTACCACAAGTAACACGATAGTAAATTTAGGTAATTCCGATTTAGGAGCGGATAAAGTGCGATCAACGTGGGAGGTAAGTAGGTGGGAACCGAATAAACTACAAGAGGAAAATGTAACTACATGGGAGGAAATCAATCTTATAACCTTGCCATAGCAACAAGTTCAGTTTATTCCTGTAAGTGATGAAGCCCACAGTAGCCGCTTGCTTTATAATTTGATTTTTCAGTGGCAAACTAATATGGCATTTCTGATTGCTCTATTTTTGACTTTTCTGCACACCTTAGATAGTAGATCGGCAAGTAAACAAGTAAACAAATAAACAATGTGCATCGACATTCAGATTTTTCCGAAACGCTAACCTGACTTTTTCCTTTGAGCATCATATAGTTAGAAAGTGGACCATAGGGTACGCATAACTGAATAAGCTCGACATCAACCATGTCCGGCGGAATATTTCTAAAAAAAAATCTTTTTCCAGGGATTTGACCACCAAGTAATGAAAAATTGGAAAAGGGCAATAAGAGGAAAGAAAAAGGCATTAGCTAGTGAAAAATACTAGTATCATTGAGTAAAACTGAAAAAATTAAAATTATTGAGAAAATCAGTAATTTACTTCTTTCCTTTCCTACCAGATTTCTTCAAGCCTCTTCAAGATATTGAGTTTTCAATCAAAAACAAATCCTATAAAGGTAAAAAAAANNNAAAAAAAAAACGAAAGAACCCTGGAGAAATCCTTGTTAAGCCCGTGACCCACCAGGGCATGCCACAATGTAGCTCACTGGTAAGGCTGGACTTGCCTCAGCAGTTGAACCGGTACACTCAGTTTCTGAGCATAGAGAACATGGGTATAACCCCAAAAGACGGTGCCATCGAAACCCTCTCGAGCTTATACGATTTAAGTAACTTTGGATTAATCTCTGAGGCAAACTTCTATTGCAAAGAAGATTCAACGTTACCCTATCTCTTTAGGGCAGATTTATAGAAATCAGTGCGTTTCACGATTGTAGATTTACTGGTAAAACCATGAATCGAAATAATAATAATGACTGCCGAGAAGATAATCCTTTTGAATCGCAGATTCCTATGGTATAAAAAAAAAGCTAGAGGAGTTAATTTGGGAAATTTGCGGCAATGGGAAATGTCAAGGCATTCAACGGATACAGTTTCTGCGAAATTTTCTCAAACAGAAATTTACAATTTCACTCAAGTATGTATTATGCAACTAGCAGCCCCTCCCATTTGATTGATAGCCCAGTCATCATCGAGTTAGTTATTTTCCTTGCTGCCCCTGGAAGTTTCGTGAAAGAGCCTCTGATAAGTTATGTTCGTTCGACTGACATTGTGGTAATGGCATTTCACCACGGTATAATGAAATGGAAGGGTAGAGATGGTGTAGGGGCGAACGGCGCACGATCATTCATGCAAGGTCTGAGGTTCGGATCTTGGATCGGTAACCACATCGACCGAACAAACTTTCCATCCCTTCGGCATCGGTTGATTGGGAACAGACGCGTTCAGGAGATTAAAAACACTGACTTGTACATCGTCTACCGCAAGTCATTGTATTGTAGACATACACAGTGAAGAAGACTCCTTAGCTCCGAACGGGAGTCAAAAGCGTGGCGCATCCCAAAAAAAGAGTTAATCACGTCAAAAGCTTCCTGTCGTCATGCCTTTATCCGACTAGGCCGACATTCCTTAAAGTGCTCAATTAGGTGCAGTTCCAATCATGACTACAGCGATTTCGATTGTACTTCCAGTTTGCATCATGAGCTAGAGGAGATTAGGCCTAGCACAATATCCTGCCGACCTGGGCAGGCAGCTGTACATATTTCCAACTTGAAATTCCGATCTTATCCTTAGGGAGAAAGAGGAATAGGGCAGAGGGGAAGGAAGAGAAGACCATAAATCGAACTAAGTTGGTAGTAAATAGCGTCTGCAACTATTCCAGCTCCAGTCCAATCCATTTTCTCTGCCCCTACGCAGATTAAGAGAATGAGCACGATGACGGAAAGTGTGGAAATGCGGACGGCGCGAATCTCCGACAAAACGTCACTCTCTTGTAAAAACAGTGGACAGATCAGAGAATCGTAACGAACGGCAAACCCGAACTGGAGCCTTGAAAGTTTCCCGAAAAAAAAAAGCTGGAGAGAGAAGGCCGCAGCTATTCACTGGGACGTTACCTAGTCTTCTGAGGGATTCGGGTGCCTCGGAAAGGTCTTGGATACCAGAACCGCTAATTGAGCATATCGACTATAGTAACAACAGAGCATTAACTCAGTCCAGGGTAACTTCGAAGTAAATCGCCGAGGCCCGTGAAACAGCCTCGTCTTCCGTACCGACAAATAACTGATTGCGTAGGTGCTGAAGGAAGCCGGGAGTTGAGTTTGGTCTCCTCCCATGACAATTTCGTTCCCCGTATTGATCTATTTTGGTGCGCTTTGCCTCTTAACTTTAATATTTCCGTGCTTTTTCGAAATGAGCTCATTAGGTTGGCCAGAAATGTGTTCCACCCTTTGCAAAGCTTGCAGCATCCCGTCAGAATCCACCGCTTCTCGAATTTGCCGAACCAGAGGGTTTTCATAGAACGATATACGGGAAGAGTCTCATATCTCACTTTTTCATCGGTTGCTGAGTAACCTACAGTACACCCTGCTAATCAACCCCCTCGGTAATTTGATCCATTCACTTAATAGGCGCCTATATGTGCACATCACCAGTGAAAAGTTGTTCCCTTGCATGGTCCGAGGATCCTAGGATATGGGTAGGAATTCGCTACCCAAACCTGCCTTTATTTCAGAGCTCATAATCGATAAATTTTCCCTCGGAGGATAAAAGTATAAACCCGACATTGGCCGGCCGGCTTGCTAGTCATTGTCTGAAAGAAATGTCGTCACAATTACAAAAAAAAAGTCGAACGAGTGGACACGAAATAGGACACCACAAAAAGCGACCCCAAAAAATCACCCCTTCAGTAGTAGCTCCGATTCCACAATAATCGTAAATTGGTGAACTCTACTTGAAGAAAACGTCAAACATTCTTTGTTTGGGAAGCCAAAGTGGGAAGAGAACACTCCTTTTGGTCATTCCTTTTGGTAGTTGGAAAAGGGAAATCTGTTAGATGAGCTTTATGGACAGTTACGGATAGAGTGAATAGGAAACATTCCAGGAGGCGATGTGATAGGAATTCTATTTAACGATAATATAAATGTGTCCAGCAAGCCTGATGACACCCTCCTTGAACTTTAGCTACATACCTGGTCTTTTGTAAAATTCTTCTAGAATTGTATTTCATAAATTCAAATGGGCGAAGGTGTTGCAGTGGCAAGTAGCGCACCACCTCACACACACGGTCAGGGGTTCGAATCCCGAGCCGATATCCGCCTGGGCCAACCAAGACTTCCATTCTTCCGGGGTTGATTAATTGGTACCAGACTCGTCTGGGAGGTTAAAAGCACTGACTTGCATCGGCTGGCCACCGCAAGTCCTTGTATAGGCCGCATACGCACTCATTACGCCATAACGATTCTGAATGGAAGTCGAGTGCGGGCGCATCCCTCAGACGGGATTGATTAACACCAGGAACTTTATCCTTTATATTTAAAAATGCGACAGCAAGCTCTACGAAGTTCAGCTGGGGTAACACACCCTCTTAGTAGCTCCTAGTTCACATTTATCGTGAAATTCTTTTTGCGGTATGGATTCGAAATTCGCCAAGTCTGAAGGGTTGCAAGTGATCAGCGAACTTCTAGCTCTCTTCATACTGTAATTTCGATTAATTTTTAATCAAATTTTTGAAATTATTGGATAATACGAAGTAGCCAATTCTACTACATTTCGTGTGTTTGAAGCAGAATACCAACGTATCACCCTAGCGTACGGTTGCATGCACGTAAATGATTAATTACATTGCTCAACCACGCATTCGAATTCCTCACACGCCCGAGGATTCCCTCCGTAATCTTCTCCTTTGACATGCATCATGTCAAGGAAGAAGATTGGATTCCTTTTAACGTTTCTTTGGATCAGAGCAGATTGGTATGTACCACCCACATAGGCGATCCGGCCCTTTCAACAGAGCTGAGAAAACTGATCAAAATCGGATGCTGAAAAAAGGAAATATCAATAATGGGAGAGTTGGTCAATGATAACTTCGAATTTGAAAAATTGTATATAAACAAAAATATAAACAAGAGAGAGTGAGAGAGAGCACTGAAGAGCTCTGAAAGTAGTACATACGAACCTGTTTTCGTCAACATTCCCAAGATTTTTGCAACAGAACATTTCGAAACAAGAAGGACTCAAAGAAGTAACTCTGGGATTACTGGTGACCACGGAGTCTGTTATGGTTCATGATGGAAAACATTTTCATTGAAAATGAGTAGAGGTTGCTCTGGGGAACATGGAACTCTTTTGAAATCCGGTGAACGGAGCGTCACCCATTTTTTTCAGAATACGCCAGGCACTTAACGCCCCTCTCAAATGTATCCGAGCTTGTTTGATCACAACCATCGATTGACCTCTCCCATAACTTGTAGAGGTCTCCCGGTGTTCATGTCCGAACCCAATTCTAGACTCGAAAAGGATAGTAGGGTAATGCAAGGAATCTCAACACTGTATCACATCTTTTCAACAAAAAAACCTTCGAGGCTGATATAAATAAAATTGTGATTAGTTCAATTTCGAGCAACTTTCTTCACAATTTTTTTGTCTGAACCCTAATGTTGGGAAAAAAGAACACGGAATGTCGGACACGAAATAATTGAGTTTTCATTGAGAATATTTCTTAAAAAATTCATGATCCCTCAATTTTTTTGGAAAAAAAAAACGATTTAAGAAGCAGAGTCATTGAAAGGTATCTGTACTTCGGAAATGACACTTATACCTTTACAAACTCTTACAACGGATTGCGAAGGAAAGTACTTCTAACTACAATTAATAATCGTAGTCCAGTGAGCCTACCTAGCGACAGAATATGAGAGATAAAAAAAGTCGTGTAAATCTGAAAATCCCATTCACATTGAAGGGAAATGGCCAGAGAACGATAAGAAACCCCCTTCATGGGAAAAGAAAAAAGTATTCAACCAATTGTTCACCAGTATTCTCCAGAATGTTCACTTTGGAATGTTCTCGGTTCCAAAGCATTAGCCGACACTAATTAATTTTTCATCGTTTCCTTACAAAAAAAGGTCTTTTGGTGGAAAGCAAAGTCCCATTCAATCCGTCAGATTCATTTTTAGATATTAGTGGCAACGAAATAGCCACCAGAAAATCGATAAGGGTTCATTTAATATTTGCTGGCGGAAGTGGAAAAAGTCTATGAATAAATTCTATTTAGTAGTGAAATTTTCATGAAAGTTTCAAGACGGGCATGCGCTCAACCACCGATGACGCATATGAAGGAATTCCTTAGAAATGTAGGATTGTCCTTTCCTACTGGTACTTCTTACTCATAAATCGAAAAGGGTGTGGGATCCCGAACATAGTCATCGAACTCGCCAAAGTTTTTCTTTCAAATCATGGTTCTGGAGAAGTTTGAATATCTATTCGGCCAACCCAACGTCATGCCCGAGTCAGCAGGGACACTCGAGCCGGTATCACTGCCTTCCTTTATAGGGCGCTACCCGAACTGCCTATCAAACTGACAATTTGAGGAAAAAGATTGACCAGAATCCGATCGAACACAGGAATTTTAATTCAAGGGTGTGGTGAGAGTCGAATTCATGTATCCCCATACCAAAACTAAGACTTTGGGTTCCAAAATGAAGTTCGGGGAACTCCCGGGCAATAAAAATGTTTCTAGTCATTTGGTCATAATGGATAAGAAATAAGGAATTCAAATTAGCCAAATTGGAGCAATAATCCGGAACTTACCGAATATGGACGACCCGTGACCGAGGTGTGCTTGAAGAAGCTGAGCAGTGCGTAGGAGCGGCTATCTGAAGAACGTCGACGTCAGTACGTACGACGTCAAAGAGTCCCTGAGTGGGAGAACAGCTCAATTCCCAGGAAACACAAACCTGTGCAAGTGGTTGCCCAGCCAGCAATTGTGCTGTAGTGAGACCGTTCATCTGACTAATATACTGCGAATATAAGGCTGTAGGATCAAGTTTCGCCTGAATAAGTTGAAGTTTGACAAATCGATTTTCCCATTTCTATTCAAGTCTGAATGCATGCAAAAAACAAGGTAGAGTGGGGAATTCCTGATTAGCTCTTCGCCAAGAGGTGGTCCATGCAAGGACTTATACCCCTATTGAGCCAAAACTATCCCCTTCAAGTTGGAACACTAGCGCAAAATTTTCTGGGCAAAAGATCCCCGTCACATAAATTTTGCATCAGTACCCAATAACTAGAAAATGTACGGCCAGAAGGCCCTGCATGCTACGAAGTTTTGTCTATCAGTTCGTAAGGAACTCTGGAAGTAGCTCTCTTGAAGTTGTTCTCCTAAACCATCTTACACAACCCACCTTTTTCGGTTCTGAGTCAACAGTCATCACTGGCGCTAGGAGGGTTCCATGTATCGACGACAACAGTTCGTCAGGGCCTCTCTGAAACGAAAAGTCTTTAATGGAGACGGAAAAAAGAAACTAGGAAGCTAGTAAATACTTTGGATCGATCAACGGATTGTCGCATTTGCCGTTTTATCTAANTGCAACCAAGTTTTGTCTATCAATTCGTAAGGAACCCTAGAAATAGCCCTCTTGAAGTTGTTCTTCAAAACCACCTTACACAACCAACCTTTTTCGGTTCTGAGTCAACAGTCATCACTGGCGCTAGGAGGGTTCCATGTATCGACGACAACAGTTCGTCAGGGCCTCTCTGAAACAATAAGATCTCAATGGGGACGGAAAAAAGAAACTAGGAAGCTAGTAAATACTTTGGATCGATCAACGGATTGTCGCATTTGCCGTTTTATCTAAGAAATCGATCTAAGAGAAGGTTTTGGGGGATGAGGTATGTCTGAGGTCATTTACGGAGACGAGATGGACGGAGGAATTCGTGTTGGCCGCTGTGCTGCTGCTGTTAAGCAATGCTAATTGGAAAATTGAGACTAGGCACGCTGATATGTGCGAATCGGAAAGACGAGGCGACTCGAGGGATGAAGAGCGTCCGCTCAGCTCGCGGTTGCCGTGCCGAGAGCGAGAACCCACTAGAAGCTTTTACTCGGCGGTAGTACTGGAAGCGAAGCCTGGAAGGCCGGAATATTGAGCTCTCGGTATTCGCAAGCAAGCAACACCTTGACAACAAATGTGTGGCGATGTATCGATTGCAACAATAGAATTAAGGCCCGACTTCATTTCCCTTCACCGGCTATGATGTCACAGCGGTCGTCGTTACCAATGCCCATTTCTCCAAAGTAATTTCGTAGCGTTCGAACGGTAGATCCCATTTGTGGCGAATTCCATTGGAAACCGGTCCATAACACCCACCAATAACTAATGAAACGGATAAAAGGTCGGAGAAGGTATCGACTAATTTCGTTCTGGAGCGCGCCACGCACTTGGTAAGGCTGTCATTGCCTCCCTTGCCCGACAACCAGCGAACTATTTGAACGGGGTGCGCTTCAACCCATTCGGCAAATGTTCGGCAACAGTTTACCGACCTGGGGATTGAAAGGTCCGGTAAACCACCATGAACGGTATCCGATCCGGTATTAGATTCCGGACAGGGAGAATGGTAAGACACCAGTTGCAACTTTTTACCCTGGCCCGAAATGCTAATGGATTAAGCTGCAGTAGTGGCAGTAATTCAGATCCAAGTGCACGAGGGTTACCATACTTTGTGGAAGAACCCATTCAGGAAGATGTCCTCAAACTTGTTTTTCCTATTCCCAATGCATTTTCAATGAATTAAAAGCAGTATAACTACGACGTCGAATCCAATGGATTCCCTGTGCAAAAGTGAGCAGTTCCTGAACCTGTTTCCCTCTGGGAGAGTGTGATAGGTAGCTGGAGAAGGTTTCTTGAGAGCCTTCTCCTTTTCCCATTCCATTTTTGAGACTGAAATATGAAGTATTCAGATTCCATGCAGTATTTGCCATCCTACGATTCCCAGAGAAAGGCAAGGTTCCTGCGTGACATTTTGGTAATCAAAATTTCGGTAGGAATCACTAATAGGCAGATAGTTGTACACCAAAACTATCGTTCTGTTCACCACCCTTCGGTTTTCTAGAATAAGCATAGCTCTCTCAGTGGAACAAACTTTTTCAAACCTAGAAATCTAGTACGAAAGTGCTGACGTTCCTTTTTCCCACAGTCCAACCCCCTTCAGCTACTGACATGGCCACAAATCAGCCCCATTCCGTTTCGGGTACAGTTAGCACGACTATCTTCCCAATAACGGAAACATGGCTTCTCCCAGAAAAACTGGCTCCATTGTGGGATTCGATATTCTCATCTTCTCAATTGCTCCAAAAGATGGGCAAGTAGAGCTCATAGCCTAAATGGGCTCCTGAAACCAATGGCTGTATAACTTTTCGAACTGGAAGCCTGGAAAACGAGATCGGATGGAAGTGCAATGGCCGAGTAACGTATGCGGACACAGAACACAATCCTTTGAAAAGCCCTTTACTTAATGTGAGTTTCCAAATGACGTAAGGGCTAGTGTATTTCTGAATCATCCTTCAATATAAACTGTAAAAGGCGCCCTCTACAAAATTCCTTATTTTCAGGAAACGTGACATTTTCTTTCGCTCTAATAGAATGCGCTCAATCTAACTGGTTTCATGGAAATTCTAAAAAAAATTTATTGGCCATTCATTTAACTATTTTTAGCTCTTTGCAAGAGACAATCCACTGTCATTGGCTTTGAACGCAGCGAACCAGGTCTGCAGGCATCCTTAATTACTCGTGGAGACCGAATTACTGAGTTAAACAAAAAGTTCGTCTGCTGAACTTCATGAAAAGCCATTCCGAGCAAAACAGGGCTAGGAACTTAAAGATTGGGAAGTCTTTCTCAATGAAAATTTGAAAACGTCAGATTGCGAATGCAGTACGGTTACCCTACCTAACAGGATACCCAAAAATGGGTGTGTGTGGTACCGGATCAACTCAGTTACTTGAGCTAAGCTCAGTACTGTACAGCGAAAAAGAGGGGAGGAGGACTAAATTAGGCCTACACCCTTAATTTAGGCCCCCCTTTTTTTTGCTGTAAAGTACTGCCTGATTACCATGCTCCCATTCTTGAAGAGCCTTCCAGTTGCAACGCTGCTATGAAGCTTTTCCTCTAGCATCTTGAACTTCCAGCTTACCAAAATTTCAAAGAAATCTGAGCGATCCTACGATGATGTCCAGAGGTGCAGGACCCTTCATTCTGATAGTACCCCCTCTATGAGTACAGGTAATAACCCTGCTCATCTTTTTACCCAAACTCGCTGAACCACGATTCCTCCTACGATGCTTCCTCTCCACCGGTGCCCCCTTCCTGCATCTGCTTGGTCGAGAGGGAATAAAAAGCCGGATTGAAATTGCAGAAACGGCCAGCACATAATTACAATATTCTACAGTAGCTGGTAGAGCTATTTAACATAAAAGCCTATATGCAGCAATGTATTATCGATATTCCATTCACCACTAAATGTGCCATATGTGGCTAAATGGCAAAATGATTCCGAATGCTCACCGATTCAGACGAGCCATACTTAAAATCATCAATTTCAGCTGCCATTAGTGAGTTTGAAATCTATCCTTTGGTGGGTACTGTAGGTAACGGTAATTGAGAGGCCAGGCAGACAGGAGTGCTTCATGTCTCCAATAGAAAGGGTTGCTCGAAAAAACTAATTTGAAGTGCAACAACCGGGAAAATCTCCGATATTCTAGCCGACAGAACAGAATGAACCTTAAGGATGACGTGGGACTACTCTCAAGTCCTTCCAGTAACGAATACTATAGCAAGAGAGGAGCTCGAAGAGAGTCGGGAACAAAACTCGACAGGAAAATCCCCTTTGGAAACCGTCAAGGACCCAGAAAGATATTGGAGAAAAACGCAGATGCTCCAGTTCACTGAATAGGAGGAACCTGATGGATCACCTAGAACTGCCCGCTTACCTGTTTTTTAAAGTGCCTAGGAGGAGAAATGACCCAGAATGGTTACCTTTTTGACGAATTTACGTTGCCGTATCAGCGACGAGAATGAAATCATAGATTTTTACGAATATATTGTGAAATGCTGTGATAACAACAACAGCAGCAGGGTATTCAACAGCAGCAGACAGTCTTGTATGACGATCGATCGACATCAGAATCGCTTGATGGGATGCAACGATGAGGCAGAAACCCCGACAACGACGACAGCGAGCTGCGATGCCATGATTAAGCACCGTCGACTCATCGTCGGCACCAATGGAAATGCCAATGTGCCGCCACTGACATCTTTTCACTGAAACCTTACATCTACCGTAATACGTAAGCAGTAACGATGGGTTTCGCTCCAAAGACTTTACATCATGACGCAGAGCTTTGGCTTCTCTTTCTTGGACTATAATTAACGTTGAAGCCTTACCCAGAGGAAGCAGGAGTATGTTCCCATTCCCGATTTCTTCGGATGGATGGGTTGCAAAATTATCTTCTATGTAACCAATACTAAAGGAATTAAGCCTATTTCCCTATCAATCTGAGTTGTTAGCAATCAGAGGTACCACACAGTGGAGCAAGGATGCGCCCAGCCCACATACGGCCTTGTGAAATTGTGAAAGCTATTGAGGCCTTCCCAAGATTGAATGAGAGTGAACGCAAGGCGCATCCTGAGAAATCGATGAACAATAACTTCTTCGACTTCGTCATCCTGCATTTGCAACAGCTCAGAAGAGTTGAAAACAAAAAGTTAATTACCCAGTCTAATACCAAGACTTGAACCAAAACATTCCATCTGGTATATTCTCAGAAATCCCTAGGTCATACCTTTGAATCACAGTATCAGGGCCTTTTACTGGTGCACATAGTGCAGTATTTTGTACGAAGAATGGGGTGATGGGCAAAACAGGAAAGTAACTTCGATTGGATGGAGAGGACGGGGTAGGGTTAAGGTTGCTTAGCTCGGGGAAGGAACGGTGTTCCATTGACACTAAGTTACCGCACAGGTATGAGCCAGGAGATGCTAGAGCGTTCGCGCGATTGATACAGCTCACCACCCCGGATAGCCTTATCAGAACGCTTTAGTATCTTGGTGACGTTAGTACAAAAGACTACCCTTTATGGAAAAAGTTTAGGTGAGAAAGGCAAACAAACCCTTCTTTCCTACAGTTTTCCATAGACATGGTTTTCTGTACTTTCTTTTGCATTTTGCGGATCATAAAAAGTACAAATTTAAAACGTACAACACCAATATGCACTATAACACGTGGACTCCCTCCGCCTTAACCGCCTACAGCGAGTTGTCAGTCCGTCTCTAAAAGTAGCCGAGCCCAATGACCTACTTTCCATGCCACCTCCATAGTGAGGGCAATGGCATTTCTTGGTCCACACACCAAATAACAGAGATACCT